AGGGAGCGTGACACTAGTCACGTGACCTTGCTGACGCAACAATATTATTAGCTAACTCTAGTTAATTGTCAATTGTTGTGTAAAAACAAAAACATAATGTGTAGGTTTGACAATTTTTAAGAATGATATACTGTAACGATGTAGCCGAATACATTTTTTTCTTTCTTTTACTTTATGATTTATCCAATTTCTGGAGTACAGACGCTAAATGTAGATTTCGTTGAAGATAAAAACTTACTTAAGACCCTCTGGACTTATTCGAATAAAATGAAATCATTAAATAAGTGAGTTAATTAAAACCTACTATGAAAGTTGCTATACGAAAAATTGCTTAGATTAGCAAATCGGTATTCTTATAATTAGTTAGTAGATATATATATATATATATAATTTCCTCGTAAACACACCATGAACCCTGTTTGATATACACATGTTCTCACAAATACACAACCACAGTTTATATAATATATTTTCGCTTAAAAGAAAAATTATTTATTTTATAAACGTCTAAACAGTTAAACAGTGTCGTAGCACTTTCTTGATTGAATTTGCAGAATATTTTAAACACTTTTTGTCTCATGGAATAGAAGTTCAATCACAATGCCTGTTTTTCTGAAGTTTAATTTTACAATTTAAGTTTGCAAACTAAACCTGTTGTTTCATGGAATTCTTCTTCCTCCTCATTTTTTTCTTTTTCTAAATATAAATCAATTTTATAAGTTTCACCACAAAGTGGCGTTTGATCAATAAGTCAAGAATAAGAGGTGGTTACACGGTTAGGACTGGAAATGATGAATTTGATTTTCAGCGATTGAGAGTTTGCGGCTTTACTTAACATTAGTTGATAAGATGTTGTAATTTGTTGTTGGTTTACCGGGTAAATAATTAACCTTTAACTTAAAGGTTAAGTTTAATATTAGAGTGTTGTTCAGCAGCAGTTTTGTCCAGTTGTCTAAATTTTACTGTTAGTGTTAGAGCCAAAAAACTTTATATGATTATGACATTACCGTAGAACTCATGTTTTATTACTTTACCGTCACGGAGTCAGACAAGGGAAGAGATTGTGCTAACCCTGTTTATGTAGGCTTACGCATGTTGCATACGCTTAATCTTCGACGGTAATTTCAATAACTTGTATAGCGTTTCGGAAATTAGTAAGGAGCGGTGCATAGCACAGTAAATTTTGTGTAAAATTTAAATACAAATATCTTTTATAATTTACCGTGTACAATTTAACAAACCCATAATGGCGACTTCAAATTTAGTCAATGGTACACCTGCAAATGTCAGTAGCTGTCTTCCAGAAATCGAACAGATTATTCGTAAGTTGGAGCAAGGTACTTCATTGATGAAATTTTATCCTAAGGGAAGACCAGAAAGAAGAATGTTTTGTATTAGACTTGAAACACGTGAGATAATATGGACAAGGCCAATAGGTGGAAGAAATATTGTTGAAGGAAGAGGTAAGACTGTCTTAACATTGACTGCTGAGTAACAAAGTCAAATAGAAATTATGATTAAATGAACCAGTAATGTTTTTTTTTTATTATTATTAAAATATACAGTTAGACATGTTACTTTAGAACTCGTACTTTTTGGCCTTAGACTGTTTAATTTTTTCCCTGTTATTGCATCTTTATTTTATCAATTACAATTAAGGTCTTACTTGTAAGATTTAACCTTGTATTTTATTTATACCTCAGAACCAACTGAATTGCTTGAAATTAATGTTTTACATTTTTACTGACTGTCATTTTGTAAGAATGTGGCACACTCTTATAGTATGTATAATACCAATGTACTGTTCATGAAATGTTTAAATGAGATGCAGTGTGAAACATTTTATAACTGTTGTGAGGAATGGTGAAATGAATATCCTTTAATTATGGTGTAATAAAGAATAAACGATTTTGTACTTTTATGTAAAGTTATATATAATGCCATAAAAGGGTTTTTCCATACGTTCCTGCATACTGGCAGTAAAAGTGTATTATATAATGTATTAAATTCAAGTGATGTTTATTTATCATGTCCAAATTTAAGTTTAGACTATTTTTTACCCACCCAAACAACAACCAAAGCAAAAAATCCATACTAAATGCAACCATTCATGTTCATACATCTATTCAACAATAGTTTAAATGAAATTAAGAAAGTATAATGTATGAATCAGATATACCATTTCACAAATTATAATTATGAATGAAAAATTATTTGCTAAAAAAAATATACAAAAAGATTTCTAAACTTTTTATTCCACCACATTTATATAGGTCACTTACCAGAAGGTTGGTAGTGACTCCTGTAACAATTTTGAATACTTGAATCAAGTCGTATCTAATTCTTCTATGCATCAGAAAAAATAAAATCAAAATTTAGCCTCTTTTTATATGTGATTGTTGTAGCCTGTCTCTGAACTTTTCAACATGTCAGAATTCCTGTATCGTGAGGACCAAAACTAAACACATTACTCTAAATGAGTTCTTATTAAACTTGAATCCCTTACAGTAACTGTCTTATTAGGAACTATACTAACAATTCTAAACTTAAAAAATCAATAAAGTCAAAAATTAGATTTGTATAAATCTCAAAGTACATTTCATATCACTTTAATTTGTGACTCTATGTCATTTAGAAAAGAGGTTATGGTATTTTTAGTGGTTGAGAGAATCCAAACTTAGCCCCATGTAAAACAGAGGTAGTTATCTTTGACAAGTTAAGCCTGAAAAGCAAGAGTCTTTCCTAGTATCTTCATAATTTCATTGACTTTTGGTTTGATTAAACAAACTGCAAATTGAATCTTGAAAGACTAGCTTTCATAATATGTAATTAATTAATTTTTTTCATTTTTAAAAATTTCAGAAATGTGGAAACTGCCATATTGTATGGGAATGGCATAAATAAATAATTGCACGTAGCTCATTAAAACATCATTGAATGCATTTGAAACTCTGTGTTCACAATGATTACAATAATATTTTCAATGAAATTATATTGTATAACTTTGTATACTAACATAAGAATATATACGCGAGAACAAGTGAAAATATATTTAGGTGAATGGTGCTGAAACATGTACCAGGTATGTTTGATTTCCTGTACTTGTAGATCTGTCATCTTATTAACATGAACAAGTGGTTCCAGATTAGCAAGTGTAGCCATCTCAAGGAATATATAATCTCTCTCTCTATATATATATAGTCATAATATGAAGGACAGAAAGTCTGATCACCCACTACTGGTGAACTATACTGACCAGTTTTATGCTAAAACATAATTTCCTGTAAATAAAGTAAGATTTGTTTTTACTTTTGAATTGAAGGAAGAAATAATACAGGCAATATAACTTGTAAATGATTAGGCTAAGCCACATTTTTGTTAATAATGCAGTAACATTAATGTCTTGTATGTGAGCAAAACACATACGAGATCTACAGACAATTGTGTGTAAATGAGTTTTGTATTTTCAAGAAATAGTTAATTTTTTCTTGAAAACCATGTGTTTAATCCATTCTTCTGTGCTTCACTGTACTTTCACAGGGCTTGAAATTAACAGCTGCCCAGTTACCAAAGGCAAGTGAAAATTGTACTGACCAACTTAAAACATGGTACAAATTCACCCAGTGAGTGAGCTTGATGCATCCAAAATCATGACATTTTCACATCAACATACGAGTATGTCCTAGTGGCTACCATTACATTTTGTAGAGGCTAGATGGTAGTGTTTCCTGCTGATTGTTGAGTGTGCCTGCGTGTTCCACCAATTGGAACAAGAAGAATTGATACATTCACTTTTCTGTGAGGTTTGAAATTAGGATATTAAACCCGAGCCACAAAATTTAAATGTGGAATTATTTTCCAGTATCACAGTATGCTTCCATAAAATATTTGACATTTCTAGTCTTTTCATGTACACATATTACGATGGAATAGTTTATTAACCCTCTCCAGACAGGTTACGGGTCAAAGGCTATGTGAACACGTTTGTTGACTTGCATTCAATTTTATTGAACTACTATTTCCTGAATTTATCTCAATAAGTTTGGTTTCAAACTGTAGATTATAATTCAAATTTTAGTATTATGCATTATTTAATTTCTTAATTTAAAAGTAAATATTAAAAAAAACAGTTTAACATCGATTTTTGTGTGTCACGTGGTATGTTGAATGCAGCACTGATTCAAATTAGATGTTTGTGATGTCAAAATACTAAGTCTATAGCTTAGTACGAATTAGGAACTCAAATTACTGATATTGACAAGCTAGAATATAAAATAATAACCTTGTATATTTTCTATTTGCTAAGATATCACTTACATACTGAATCAAACACAGTGGCCCCACTCACCTCTTTCCATATTTGGAAATGGTCCCTTATATACACTTACTTTAATATATGACGTGAATAACCACTCAAAGCTCAGAATATCTCCCTAGTGGCTTTTTCAGCCACTTTAAAGTGTTAAGACACCATCTTGTTCTTTGGAACCAAGATTTCAAGGAGGTAGGTTGTGTCTTTAGTCTGCTCGAAATTTCATATTTTTTTAGACCCAAATATAGCTTAGTTACTAAGCTTGATAAATTATAGTGGAATTCTGTGATATCGATAGTAATTTATGATTTTTTGATTAATTAACTGTATATGTATAAAACCTAAAAAAAATTATTCCGCTTCATATCCTCCACATGCAAAATTTTGAAAGGCCTAACAACCGAGTACAAAGGTCATAACTAGAAGAAATAATTGTTTGCTTTACTTCTTTATTTACTGTTCTATGTTTTAAGAAAAATAAGTTTAAGAACTTATTTCTAAATAGTAATAATCTATATGCATATATAATGTATAATAATGGAAATGTGACTGTATTTTACAAGACAGGTCACTTTGTAAAGACTAAAGGTTAGTTTTATATTATTGGATATGGTAACATGAGAACTTGTGTGCTGAGTCATTGTAACTTCTGTATTGTTAGCCAGGCATCACTGAAAGGTCTATATAACATAATAATAATAATAATAAATATATGTAAATGTATAATGTTATGAGATTTAAGCTATCTAGTCTAAACATTTATGTTTTCGTGTTATAAGTTTGTCATTCTAGAACGAAAGAAAAATAATTTATATTTATAGTTACGAGATCGGTCAAATCTACCGAACGCCTACAGAGATTCGTTCGTGAAAATAACAGATAAAATATAAAGTTTTTTCTTCAGAAATATTTGATAACTATCTGGACATTATAAAAAAAGGTTTGCATGTGAAATTTGGAAAGTTTCTGATGTGTAAAAGTAGTCTTTAATCTTAAAATAAAAATTACATTGCATGTTAGATAGGCAACATGCAAAAAGAAAAAAAAAGGCATGAGAAAAACATTGCTTCACAAACCTTAAGACTTAATAAAAAAAAATTGATATCTTGCATATGAAAGCATTGTAATCTGCCAAATTTTTTATCATATGCTTATTTATTTAAAAGTTATAGCATAGAAACTATAACAAAATGGTTACAAGGTCAGTCCTTGGAACTGAGCCTGTGGTGAAAGAGTTAACCAGTGTTTCAGGTTTTATGTTAGGTTGAATAGTAATTTGCATGCTTATATCATTTTTCAGATTCTTTTAATAATTTATTCTTGTTAATGCAGATGCTATACTTTGGTAAATTTTATTTTTTCATTCACATATATGTGTAAACCATTTGGGCTAGTAAACTATAAGTAGGGTCAGTAACTTTGAAGTTACCATCCTTGGTGGCAAATAAGCTAAAATGTTAGTTTCAGACTCTGCTTTCAGTGACATTTAAAGCAGGCAGAGTTAGAGAATAGTTATACTTCTAATAAACTATTTCCAACTGAAACATTTATGCAAAACATTTTTCAGTCTTAGATAAGAATCTGGTTTAAGTCAGTTTGACTCTAAACCTGATGCTTAGAGTTTATGATTTGTTTTCTCCAGAGTGGATGAGTATTGGGGGGGGCAGTCTTCAAAATGATGCTGTGTAAAGTGAGAATGTTGGTAGTATGAACTTATGTATTACTGTGATTAGGGGAAACAGGTTTAAGCTTTGGGAGCTTAGATGCAGACTTGTTCTTTGACACAGTTTTTGTCTAGTTAGTTATAATTTTTTGAAATGACTTGCATTGTGATGTAGTTTGATTGGTGTTGTGTGTTTGTTTTCTATGAAATTAAATATGAAGGACTAGGTTAAAGTTAGATTAAAAAGGGGGAAAAATTGGGGGTTTAAGATGACCTCAGTAGGATAAATAGTCCTTGATCACCTTGCCTTGTGTTCATAGTAGTTTATTGGTGTAGTAACAAAATATATGTACATTACAGGAATCTTAAGTGATGGCTTTTATGCTTGTTGTTTTAGCAATATACGAGTCGAGTCGGATAAGACATGTTACCATGTATTTCTTATTACTGTACAATATTTTAAGATCGTAATTACAACAGATTTTCCATACTTTCAGTGAAGCCTTTTTATCTGAGTTTAATAGCTAATTTTTATTTGACCCAAAAAAGTCTATTTTATTTACTTTTGTAAAAAAGTTTCATAAAACTTCTGGTAACATTTCTTTAAATTTGTTTGGAAAGAAATTCATAAACCTGTGTTTTGTTTCTTATTTAACTAGAAATCTTTGTAGGTTATTTAATTTAGTTTTGCTAACACACACACACCATGTTGTTTCTATTGTTTCTTATAAAACAAAATTAACAAGAAATGTTTGATTGAAAGAAACATTATTTCATTATACAAAATGGTATTACACTTCAGTTATTTCTCTTTCTTAAGAGAACTTAACAGTTTTCTTTAACTTTAAAATGTTTTTAGGCAGAATAAACTTGAGATTGTGTTTTCTTTATTTTCTACACTGAATTATTTGTATTTTCAGTAGTATGCAGATTTATTAGAGCATCCATTTGCTCCTGTTGTGTTGGTTTGTTGTGTGTATGAAGTAAAACCATTGTAGTTTAAAATGTTGAAAAAGACATTAAGAAAGGAAACTTTGTTTTACAAAAACATTTTCCAGTATAGTGTGATGTTTTCATTAAAATGCCAAAAGGGAGAGAAAAACATGAGGGACAGTGAATGGGCCCCCTTGACCCATTGTGGCTGTCCCATTCATTTCATCAAATACTCATCTGCCTGTATATATATATCGCTTTTTTTGTTGTGTGTGTGTGTGTGTGTGTTTATCATGTCTTCTTTTGAACTCTCCCAGCTCTTTTATGTCTACCACATCTGAAGGCAATCTATGCCAAAAGTAAATCACCCTGTACCAAAAATAAAATTACCTAAATTGCAGATGACTTCTACCCCATCCAACCTTAAATCTATGTCACCCAACTATTGCTATTAAGTAGAGAAAAAAGATGATACATTGATCCTGTCTATTGCACTTCAATCAGATCCCCTCTAATTCTTCTTTTCTTAAGAGGAAATAATTTAACATATTTAAATGCCATCAAATGGCAAGAATTTAAAATTCATGTTACCAAACAAAATTTGTCAGAGAAAAAGTTTGTGTTATACTTTATCTGTTGGGCAAGTATTTCTTTTCATTTTTTCCTCATTGTTTGTTCTATTGCTAAAACATAACAAATAATTTCAAGGTAGTCAGGTGAACTTCAAACCAAAGCTACATACACAGTATACATATCCTATTAATTCACAAACTCTCAGCTACACACACACACACACACACACACGTGCTGCTCTGTTAAATCCAAATGAATATATGTTAAAAATCATAAAATACATAAACAAATATATTGGAATAGCATTGTTGCAAAATGATGTATACACCATTACAGACAAAATTGAGCAGCCAGTGCATTTTATTGATGGGTATGTAGCATTGTGAATAAAGACTCATGAATGTAGTGTTTTGTCCAAAAATAAAATTAATTTGTGAAATTTGAAATAAAATTAATTTTTTTAGATTTTTGAATAATGATTTGTAATGTTTTTATTTAATCAATAAATAGCCCACTTTTTATTTCACAGATTTTTATGTGAAAGTTTTTTGAGAAAAAAAGCTGATTTTATCAAGATGGCAAATTTGACATACAGCATTTTGCATACATGCTCTTTACACACACTTAATTCAAATGTGATTATTAATACTTATTGCTCACACCATTTGACACTAAAAAATTTTACATACAGCATTTTGCTGTTATAAAGGGTGACATAGTGTTATTACCAGTAAATCATTAATGTTTGAGTTTTCACATTAAAACGTTTTACCGTGTGGTTTATTTATAAGATGTGCCAATACAGTTTTTGTTATTTTTGCACAGTTTTCACTAATTTTTTACAGAATATATATTTGTTCAGTCTACACAAATATCCTACATTTATATGTAATATATTTTTTTCGGTTTATATACATATGTGATGTATCCATCTTTCTGTGTTTGTATTTGATATATCCACCACCTTGCTATATTTCTGTGATGTGTCCATGTTTCTATATGCAGGGTTTGAATATAATGTGTATCCAGTAGCTTTTTGCTAACTAAAACCGTTATTGTGCTACTATTTAATTGATGCAGTATCATTTTACTGATACCTTAAATACAGTGCTTGTCAATGCATATACCTTAAATATAGTATGTGTGAATGTATTCTTTTTTTTTTATTGTGAATGTTTTGACATTTTTTCAAATAGCAGGAAGTTATTGATATAATAGCTTCCTGATTGGTAGTTTAGTACTGCCCCATGAAGACATCCAAGAGGTTCACATGTACAGTGCATTAGTAATGTGGTTAAAATTTTAGGGTATGGAGTTTATTTTATAGATGAAAGGCGAAATTAGATGACTGTGTTAAAATTTTGTAACATACCTTGATTCCTGCACCTAGCCATGAAAAAAAAATTTAATATACATTAAATAGGTAGCTAGATATTACTTTACAAGAATTTTACTACAGAAAAAATACAATGCAGAAAGTACTGTATCTAGTTATATAATCTTACAATTAAGTATGTGTTAAATAAAGTAATAAATGAAATCTTGAGAATAGCAAAGATTTTTTTTCATGTTTGTCACATTCTACTACTTTAATTGTATTAATTAATTTAATTTAATACATTTTTTTCTCAACAAGTGAAATGCACTTTCAAGAAAGCCATTACAGACAATGTATTGCACTTTCAAGTACATGCATAATATAACCAGAAAAATTATTTTTTAAAATAAAACCAGCTTTTTTTAACCTGATCAGTTTCCCTTACTTTAATTCTTTTCTTATTAAACACTTAAAATTGTAGAAATGTGTTTCTTTAAAATTGCCAAATAAAATGTCTGATGAAAAGTTTGAATTAATGGCTAGAGGAAAGGAATTAAAAGGCAGGATCAGGATTTAATATATGAATGTTACACCATTGTTTAGCTTAATTCAAGTGTTGTAGCTGTTGGTTAATTTGCAGGTCTTTATGAACATGTATAGTTTGGTATGATACAAAGTTGCACAGAATTTTTTAATGTACTGGTACTGTGCTAGCATGTAGGTTTTTTTTTTTTAATATCTCAGTTGCTATTGGGCAACTAGGATTCAAGGAGACTTGAGCAGGAAGTTACATTTAAGTTACTCTAAGTTTGAGAATTCAAATAATCAGGTTAGATTAGAGTTGATAGAATATTGGTTTGCATCTGCAATATTTGATATAGATTGTTTTTTTACTAACTTTTAAAGAAAAAGAAATGTAAGTACTATAGGCCTAAATCGTTGTTTTGTAGTATATATAGAAATTATTGCACCAGATCTACAAATGGTTAAGCATGAGGTGTTTCAGGAAAATACAGTCTATTATGTGGCATTCAATGTAGGTTGTCTGGTCTGTCTAAATTTTGGCTTTTTTTTGTATACATATTTTCATATATGTAAACAGCTAGTAAATAAAACCATTTTGCTTCCAACTTTTTAAGCATATAGCAAGTTCTCATTAGGGCTTTAAATAGTTAACTTCTACCCCTATGTTCATGTTGATATTCTTCTGTTATTGTGTGCAGTGCATTATATCATTTTCTGTTTGTATGAGAGGTATTTATTTTATGTGATATACTTCTACATTTTATGATTTATCTATTTGTATATTCTGTATCTATATTTTTATGTGATAAATCTTTGTATGTGAAGTACCTGTCTTTTTCATGTGTATGCGACCTATGTATTTTTCTCTGTATATCACAGTTTAGTATTACAGCATAAATAACATGTTTTCAGAGTTGTATAAATTTGACTATTGCTTATATACATTTGTGTATTTAAAGTTGCATACATATGCTGATCATATGAACTGCATTATTATGTCAGGTGTTTTTCTTATCATTTCACCATGCAATATTTTACTGTTTATATCTGTGTTACTGTACCATATTTTTTTAACAGAGCCAAGGGATGTGGAAATTGTCTTGTACAGGTTTCATTAGGATGCAGCACACATGCTTAATATTTTCCAGTGCATTGTTGCTGCCACTTGTATGTTATCAGTCACGCTTGCAGTAATAAATGTGCTGGCAGTATGCACCACCAAATAAATATTAGTTTCTACTCCTAAGACATATATATATATATATATATATATACTACACAAGTGAAATCTTGAAGCCTTCAAAATAAAAGTAACCCCTGGTACAAGGTACAATTATACATATGTAATGGAAGCCATAGTATTGTTTTTTCCATATTCTAATTTTTCTAATTAACTGATAGAAATATACATTTCAGACTTTATTTGCATATCATCATTAAAGCTTTTCACTAGGGTTTGTGATCATGCAAAATGAACTTTTAAGTGTGCTTTCATGTTAGAAATTCTTGTGCAGTAATTAAGTTTTTAAACTTTTTCATTGGAATCATTAAATGATCGGATAACATTTGGTACACTTGATGATATATCACTGTAAACATGCTTATTTAACACTATAAACAGTGGTGTTTTTCAAAATACTGCTACTTTATGTATTTCAGTTGATTTAAGAGAACTAAAAGAGGTGAGAATAGGAAAGTCATCCAAAATGTTTGAACGTTGGCCAGAAGATGCTCGAAAATATGATCATAATCATTGTTTTGTTGTTTTATATGGAACTACGTTTCGTTTGAAGACATTGTCTTGTGTGGGTAAGTGAAATTTTCCAATTGTAAACTGTTAACTGTATATACTTTAGTACTTTGCTTTATGAAAATACTTCTACTTTTAAAACATGAAATTTCTTTAATAAAAGAAAAAACTTCAATGTATAAATTTAAATAATCAGTTGTTAACTCCTCCTACAGCAAGTTGTTTTGTAAGTTTTAATTAGTTGCATCTTTTTTTTTAAATGTGGTTTGTATCTTGATCAGCTACATTTAGTTGCATCAGATAATGGAAGAGGGCAGTGGTAAATGCCATGGAGAGAGTTAAGAGCAAAACAAAAGTTTGATATAGGAACTGTTCCATTTTTATTTCTATTCCACACATTATATAGTATTCTTTTGTTAAAACTACCAGCTTTTTAAAGATGTTTTTACCATATAGTTAAAAAGCGGTCTTGTAATCAGCTGAATGTGGTTATCCACAGTTTTAATCACCGTGTTCAATCATCAAGGAAGAAAATTTTAATATCAAACATTTTCATGTATGAATTTATGGGATTTGTATTTTTGTATGCTTAGATATCAGTGTATAGTAGCTAACGAGTTAATGTTTTGTACATACTGTGTAAGTTAATAGCTTGTTTGTATACACACAAACACATGCCTAGTATGTTTTCAAAAAGGATTTCAAATTGTAAGTGGGTCAAGCCAGCAAGTACACCTAAATGTGTAAATATATTGGTCTTGTACTAATTCAAAACACATGCAAATTACAGGTAATAACTTCATTTTGATAGTGATTATAATCATTGTAATCTTTTATGGAAGTAGTAGATTTGTTTTTAATTTAGGTGATAACTTATTATAACCAACTTCAGTAGATGCCACTTCTGTCTTAATCTTGTGTTCATTATTTTGACATGTTTTTGTTTATTTTTTGTAACACTTTTATAAAGCAATGTCAAATAAAGATTGTGATCAGTGGATTCGAGGGCTTGCTCATCTTGCACAGGACACAATTAGAGCTTCCTACCCTCTCCAGGTTGAACGTTGGCTTCGCAAGGAGTTCTATGGAATGGAAAGTCAAAGAGGAGTGTAAGTTGTTAGTAAATTGATTAATTAATTTTGTTTTAAGCAAGTTTAGTTTATCTGCTCTATTATTCAGATGGGATTTTAAAATGAGGTTGTTTAGTTTTAATTGTTATTTCAATCACCAGTAAGCAAAATTGAAAATTAGTTTCAGTACTACTTCTATGTGTGAAGTAACTACATTTTAAAGTATTGTGTAATTGTAAATTCTTTGGCTGGTTACTTCTATACTTTACTCTAGAGTGCTTAGAGAAACTTGGAATGCTTTAAAAAATGTCTGTTTAAAAAAAAAAAAGCATAACATATTGCTTAAAAAAATAAACTTTCTCATGTGGTTTCTGAAGCTAAAAATAGATAATGGCTGAGGATAGAAGTAAACATTTAACTCAAGAAGACCAGTTAATGTTAAAGACTTGAATACACATGTTTGGTTACTTTCACTAGGAGCAAAGCTTCACATTCAAAAATATAACCAGTTTTAAAACTGGTATGTTATATAAAATTAACAGAAAACTTGTAGTGAATAGTAGTTTTTCCAAATAGGGTTTTATAAATGGTGTTTAAACCTTTCATTTTTGTTTATCTGAGAATAAGAAGCTAAACTTCTCCCTATTATGAATAGTATTTTATTTTAAATGTTGGGTAACCTTCAATAATGTTGCTTAACTAAAGTTATAAGTTACAGATGCTTGGAATTGTATGATTCAAGGTAAGAGGTTTAACATGTTTGTTGAGGAAGGAAATGTAAGCTATAGATATTTGTTGCTTAAGTTTTGTATGTGTTAAAATATTTACCACTAGTGGTGTTACTATTCAAATAATTTGTGTGTCTTTATAATGCTTCAACTTAAAATGATAATTGTGGGTGCATGGAAAATGTAGTTTTTATGAATTACAAGAATATTGAAGTATGTGTAAATAAATGTAAGCAGGAGTATTAAAGTGTCCTTCCGGTAAGTAGCATAGTTGATTTGTTCGTATTAAGTACATAATTTGAGCTTATTCAGGGCTTAGGTTTAGTAGAGCTAGTGATTTTTCCATTAAAAAATCCAATTTTCACAGGCAGCTTTTGTGAAATAATGTTTTTTGTAAAATTGTGTGAAATATCCAGCATGTTAGACTGCTTTGAATGAAAGTTCATCTCAGATGAAGCTTTACAATTTAAAAAACTGCAAAATTTGGTAACAGAATTTTGTATTAGAGACCTGGCTGTGAAAGCCATGTGAAGTTTATGATATTTACTTTCTTTCATGATACCAGACCTTGTTAGAACTAGTGATATTGAAAAACAAATAAATTAGTATTTTAATATTTGCCTCTCAAAACCAATATTCCTTCATTCATTTGATATTCCCTCAAATTTTTTATTATTAAAGTATTTGGCCTTGAATTTAATTGCTGCTTCAAAGTTAAGAACTATATATATAACAGATAAATGACTAGTTAAATACTAGAGACTGGTAACTGCTGATGAATGAAGAGACAAACTGACAGTGAAAAAGTGTGTATCATTGATGAATGGTGCATTCTGTTATACTTAGCCATAGACTATGAAGAAGCTATAATAGCTTTCCTGTAATGCTCAGCTGCACATCTTTAATAATGTTTCTACATTCTACAGTTATTCTTTATAGATAAACTAATAAATTAACTGAGAGTGGCAAATCAATTTTGTTCCTTGAATTTGTAAATTTAGACTATCATAATACACAGGTTTAAGTCTGAGTTATAAAGATAACCAGTTTTAAAATTGGCATGTTATATAAAATTAACAGAAAACTTATAGTTAATAATAGTTTTTCCAAATAGGGTTTTAAAAATGGTGTTTAAACCTCTCATTTTTACTTCTCTGAGAATAAGAAGCTAAACTTATCCCAGTTATGAATATTATGAATAGTTTCTTAAATTGTTCTGGTGTTTTTGTTTGATTTTCAACACTGAGTAAGATTTTTGAAAATTGCATTTCATATGCCTAATTCCATGAATCCTGTCCATTTTTCACCATTGTGTAAAACTGCTGTCCTAGTTTAGTTCATGTACATTTAGTAACCAAGTGTATATTATTTTTGTAATTTATGTACAACTGGTATATAACCCTTTTCTGAATAATAATATGTAACTTCTGTTTTCAGTTGTACATAATCTTTTTTTAATCAATGGTGCATTTAAATTTTGTTGTCAGTTGGGCATAATAATTCTGTGGTCATTGCTATGTAACCATAGCCATTCTGTGGTCAGTGGTACATAACCATTTTTGTATCACTAGTGTGTACCTTTTGTGATCACTAGCCATAACCCTTATATGGTTACTGCTGTGTAACTATTCTGTGGTCACTGCTACGTATCCTTTCTCTGGTTACTGTTATGTTATCTCAGCTTAAGTATGTGTTGATTGAGATATTTTTATCAGCATTGAAATACTAGTTTTATCTTTAAGCATTATTTTCATAAAAGAAAGAGTAGCATCTAAAAGACATATTATTGAAGAATTAAAAACATTTAATGAAATAAAGTATTGAAAGATAATGCAGTTTTTTATGTATTTAAATATACTAGTTATAACTCTTTTAATTCCCTCTTTGTGTATACATGGTCTTTAGTTAACAAGTTATGTTTAAAAATAACAAATTAAATTAATAATTTTCTTACCAATGCAGCTGATCAATTTAAATATAAATTAGCTCCTTAATATAGGTACCACAACAGCCAGTTTTTTTACTTGTGTACATATTCCAAAATTTTTTGTAATTAATTTTCTGTTGTATCTTACTATTTACTGTACAGTGTCACTTTGAAAGATTTGAAGGGATTCTTCCCCAAAGTCAATTGTAAACTTTCTAACAACAAATTAAAGGAACATTTTCAGGTAAGGAAAGAAAAACGATTTATTACAAAATATTGATAAACTATTTTTGTTTGAAATTCTGGACATAAGTAAAAGAAGACTGACAAGACCTTCAACCAAAAGTCAGTATTAGGGTTAATATTCAAGTAGCATCTCATTGAAATACATAGAAAAAAGTAACTTCCTTTGACACTAACCTTAGGTCAATGTGGTTGGTAAAAACAAACAAAATAGTGGACATTTACATTTTGCTGTTGTGTAAAAAAGATTTTTGAATGTACAAATAAGATGATTGTAAAAAAATCACCTGAGCATGTTTGACCACTATGAGACTTTCATGTATTTTGTGAATCTACTTGTATATTTTAATTTTTAACAGTATTATTTTGAAAAAAAGGGATGTACTATAGAAAAATAAAGTAAAAAAAAAGCTGGAATTTCCCAGTCATTTATTATAATGAGAAAATTCACTGTTTTAAGTGTTCATACTTGTTTTTGGCAAAGAAGTATCTTTGTATAGTGCTTAATGATATGAGAGATGAATTTGGACTGTTTAAGAATTGTTTTCATGTATATGGATTTGTAGTATTCTTGTTATACATCATTTCATCAGGGGATACCTTTGAGGTTGTAAAAATCACTGACCACTTTATTATCTTTTTTTTGTTATTATTTTTAATTACTATATATATAGTATAAATCAAATCTATATATTGATCTTGTTTATGCCGAAGACATAAAAGTCATAATTTATTTTTACCCATAAAAATGAAAACTTAATAATTGATTAGTGTAAGAAGTGATAAAAATAAATAAAACTATATTTGGAATTATGGTGAATTATGAGGAAAATCTAGGCTTTTCTTTTACTTTTCTCAGTAGTAGAGTAGCTTCTACTTTCTTTTCAAAATATACAAATAGAATAATAATCTACATGAAATTGTCTTAATTAGTTGTTAAATATGCTAAAATAACTTTCTAATCACCTTTCTTGCATATGCCAAAATCTTTATTATACACAATAACACCCTCCTTGAATGAAATGTGGATACTTTCCATTTTTGTTTCAGTTGATCCCATTGACCTGAAATTTGTGTTAAAAGCAATTTTGTCTAGGTTTTCCATTGAGTTGCTACTTGGATATTAGACCTGATAATAACTTTTTTGTTACTAATTATGCTAGTTCTTCTTTCTAGATGTAGTTTTAGCCATCAAGGTTTATGTGTAGTGTGAGTTTATTCAACATTTATAAAAATATAAGATACACTTGTAGTTATATTTAACACCTACAGTATTCAAAAGACAGATAAATCACTGTTTGATGATAGTTTCAGAACTTGGCTTGTTTTTATTTATTGCAGTATACACACGAGTATTAATCATTGGCTAAACAGTCAAAATATCTGAAATATTTAGGAACTTTTTTATAATCTTCCAAACTGAAACTACAGCTCTTACCTTTCTTTACCCTTCTGTACATAGTCTGTTGGTGAAATAACTGTATTTTTAGGTTAATATTTTGATGAGTCACAGATTTATATTACCCTTCAATCAGTCTACAAAGTGCAGTATGTAATAATGATAATGTTTATTTTCATTTAGCCTCATATTTTTCTTTTTAAGTTAGAAAAGTTAAAAGGTTAATGCCTTAGGAAAAGATGTTTAGAATCAATGTAAGCAGTAGATTTCCAGATCTTCATAGTAACATAATCAAAATAAAAATTTATTAATTGTTAGACAGGTTTAACAAACGTGCAGGTGAAAACATTGCATAATGTACAGTAACTATGTTCTAATGCTGTTATTGTTTAAATAGTACACAAGAGGCCACTGTATAACATACAGTAACTTTGTGTTCTAATGCTGTATGTATAACTATTACATAACAAAACAGTACATAATGTATGGTAACTTTGTTTTAATGTGAATGTTTTGATGTTCTGTTTAATAATGTGCATGTTTTCAAACCATTTTTTTATTTGGTCCACAGAAAATATTATTTCATCTTTCAGAAACTTGGTTGTTTTTCGGTTTTTTTTGGCTCTAAAAGCTGTTGCTACTAAGTTTTTAAACTTGACGCAGAAGTTTTATGGAAAATATTATCTTGCTTATGGTTTTAAATTTTTAAAATTAATCACAGATGATCAAATTTTTTTTGCTGTTCCAAAAAAATGTAATAATAGGATAACATGAACAATCTATTCCTTCCACATAAAGTGTAAATGTATTTTAAACTATATGCATTTTAGGAAAAATGATTACAATTTTAAATATATTTTGTATTACTTGAGTCTTAAATATAAATTATGTTCTTGTTCACTATTATAGGAACATTTAAATTTTTCAATATTTATTTAAGGAAGTAGATGCTAGAAGAGGCGGGGAAATCGGCTTTGAAGCCTTCGCAGCATTGTATCATAATGTGATATTTGATGAAAAAGTAAGTTGTAATATGTGTTTAATGTTATATACATCTTTAGGATTTGATTTTATTTTCATTATATGGTGTTTGCAAATTTTTTTAATATGTTTAATGAAGTGAGTGATGTATCATGTTTACACTGTTATTTATTTGCTAATTAATGAAAATACAAATACAGAAACTGCTAAAGAACTCTAAATGAACATCCCATGCTGCTCTTACATGTATAGCCACTGGTTTTAATCATAGCAATGTTCTGCTTGTAAGTTAAAATTACTGACTTGTTTTAGTAAAATCACTCATTATCTGTGTAAAATGCATAGGAAACTGCTGAAGTAATTAGTGGAATATATTGCAATGTTAGGATTGCTGTTTGCATGTTTTTGTGTAACGTGTATTTTATTAGGAATCATGTAACCAGTAGTCATGAGCCTACAAGATAGAATTTGATAAATAAATCATTTAACAAAATGCATTTAAAAATTTGAGTCTGAATTGTTGGGCTACACATGTATAATTATCGTGAAAATTCACCATATCTCTGTACATATAATAAAAATTTGCTTCTGACAAATGTTAAGATAGTAAATTCTAGCCTCAGTGTTAGTGACCAGTACAGGAAATATAGAAATTCCTTACATCTTTGACCGGTCCATTTGTCGAAGTATATTTCTCATAGGCTTTCTGTTGTAGAAAGTAGAGACTGGCTGT